ATTCTCCTGCCTTAGCCTCCCAAGTAGCTGGGACTACAGGCACCTGCCACAATGCCTGGCTATTTTTTGGTTGTAGTTGTCATTGTTGTTTGGCAGGTCTGGGCTGGATTTGAACTGGCCAGCTCTGGTGAATATGGCTGGTGACTTAGCCACTTGAACTACAGGCACTGAGCCTTTTCTGAGGCGGGGAGCAGGGGAATAGTCTTATTATGTCGCCCTAGGTAGAGTGTCATGGCATCACAGTTCACAGGAACCTCAAACTCTCGGGCTTAAGTGATTCTCTTGCCTCAGCCTCCCGAGTAGCTGGGACCACAGGCACCCGCCACAATGCCTGGCTATTATTTGGTTGCAGTTGTCATTGTTCAGGAGGCCTGGGCCAGGCTTGAACCAGCCAGCTTCGGTGTATGTGGCTGATGCCCTACTCACGAAGCTATGGGTGATGAGCCACCATCCCTTTCTTTTTTTCTTTTTTAATAGAGACAGTCTCACTTTATTGCCCTCGGTAGAGTGCCATGGCATCACACAGCTCACAGCTCACTCCAACTCCTAGGCTTAGGCCTCAGCCTCCTGAATAGCTGGGACTACAGGCGCCCGCTACAACGCCCAGCTATTATTTTTGTTGTTACAGTTTGGCCAGGGTTGGGTTTGAACTTGCCACCCTCAGTATATAGGGCCAGCGCCCTACCCACTTAGCCACAGGTGCCGCCCCACCATCCCACTGTATGATTCCAGCTCTCTTTTGGTTCTCCAGATCCTCTGGTTCCTCCTCAGTTCCCTGGCACTTACGTCCTATGGCTGCCAAGCCCACTCCCTGCTGCCCCTGCTTACCGCCACTGGCTCAGGGTCTCGATGAGGCGGGCATAGCCCTGGGCAGCGGCCAGGTGCAGAAGGCTCATGCCTCGGAAGGGGCTTCCGTGGGCCAGGCGCTCAGGACCCCTCCAGGTGGAGCGCGGGATCATGCTCTCTACCAAGACCACTACCCGTGCCTCGAACCCAGGGCCCTGGCCTTCATCCTGTGGTGATGAGGATGAGAGACCTGAGCAATGGTCCCCTGGCTTGGGATGGCATTGCCTACCCCTTGTCTGTCCTCTCAACTTCTAACTCTATCTCCCTCCCCATGCTTCCTGCTCTAGTTCCCACTACCTGAATCTTTAACGGCCCATTAGTCCTCCACGTGGCTACAGAGTTCCTGTTAAGCCTCAGTGTACCCTAGACCCATAGCCACTTCCTTCAGCCCTCTGGCCGTCAGACCTCACACATACTTACCCATGTTTTGCCTTCACCATCAATTCAGATCAGTGCCATATCCATAGGGCTTCTCCCCTCGCAAGCCAGAGGCTGAGACTTTCCCCAACCCACTTCCTTCAGAGACTTGGAACCCATAGATCTCTGAGGTACAATTCTCCTGACCCTTCCCCCACCCTCTCCCTCACCTCCACCCTCCTTCAGACCAGAAATAGTCTGAAGTCTGTCATGCCAAGAGGGTGCCCAGAATAGCCACTCTTGCCACAGTGTGGGGATGGGCGCAGGGTGATGTGAAGGGGAAGGAGAATTGGCTGAGAGGCTGGGGACAGGAGAGCAAGGAGAGTCATACACTAAAGTCATTTTCTTTAGGCAGACCCTCCTCTTGCTCTCCACTGTAGACCACCTCCCTTCTCATGGAAATACCTGAATTGGAGGAGCATCAGGACCCTGTCGAGGTGCCCGGCCAGCTGCTGCAATTTCTGCCATCCTCTTCTCCATCTGCTCCAGTCGCTCCAGTATGGACATCCGGAACTGGTTGTCTGAGGGGGAATGGGTATTGGAGGCTAAGTGTGCAGGGTCTAGGCAATGCCCTGAACACCAAAACTGGACCCTTCCCAAAATCTGGCCATGAAGACAGAGAATCCATTCCTTTCTCTTCCCTAAACATTAGCCCTTTAACCCATTCACCTTCTAAATGAAGCCCACCAAGATTCAGTCCTTAAATAGGGCTGTGAATACTACCCATAGACCTAGAACCAGGACCCAAAACCAAGACTGTTTCCTTCAAGACAAAGATGGTGGGAATTCCCAAACAGCCATCCAGCTCCCAGCAGCCTCAAATCATAAATGTGCCCACTCTCCCCCCAACCTCTTCCTAGGTAAATTGTTCTTACCCCAGACACTACCTTTGTCACCCATGCTGGGGCTGAAGGACTCCAGGGTCCCTCTTCTCTATTAATCACTGCCCAAAAGAGTTCAGGGACTGTGATTTGAAAAGCACCACCCCCTCCTCCCAGCCCCCCACAGCTGTCCACAAAGAGGATGGTGGGGGAGGGAAGGTGACAGAGATAGACAGCCACATCTTCCTCCTCCTCTGCCCCCTCCTACCTCATACACAAATACACATACACATATGCACAAACACACATCCCCCCCAAGCTGTATCTGTCCCCTCCTAAGATCAAACAAGAACAAGGAGGGGAGGCAGGAGGGGGTTACAGCCATAGGAAAATAGGCACAGGGAAACAGGGTGGAAGCTGGGGATGTTTTAACATACCAGGATAGAAGGGGATGAAGGTATAAAGCTGACAGCAGGGGAGGGGTAGAGAATGGTGAACAGAAACCCAGGTAAAACAAAGGGAGGAGAGAGCATAAAAGATAAAGGAGAGGAAAGAAAGGAAAAAGGAGGGCTGGGGTAGGAGGAAATACCAGACAAGCAATAAGAAAGGAAGAGAGGTAAGTTAAGACTTCAAGAAGAAATCGAAAGAAGACAGATGGAAGAGATCCAGAAGAAATGGTAAAACAAAGATTAGATAGGACAGAAAAACTGGTGATGAACAGTCACAGAACAGAACAAAGGCAAAACAGGACTAAGAGCTGGCGACTTCGGAAGGTAGACAAACTCAAGTTGAGAGGCAGAGAACCTAACACACACGCTTGGGCTTTGTGATGGGGGCTGGCTCTAAACATGAGACAAAAATAGGGACCAGAGCCCCTGAAAGAGAGAAGTAGGGATGGACGGAGACAGAGACAAACTCAACAGGGACAACAGCAGAACTGAGAGAAACCAACAGGCAACAATAGAGATACCAAGAAGAGAGAGAAAAGTAAACCTCAAGAAAGCAGCAGGTGCAGATAGAAACAGTTCTCAAAGCCACAAGTGAGATAATCAATAAAAGGAACAAAAACAACCCCGGATTTAAATAAATAAATATATCAGGTGGCACCCATAGCTCAGTCAGTAGGGTACTGGCCACATGCACCAGGGCTGGTGGGTTTGAACCGAACCTGGCCTGTTAAAAACAAACAAACAAAAAAATAGCCAGGCTATTTTTTTTGTGTGTGTGTGTGTGTGGGCGCCTGTAGTTCCAGCTACTCGGGAGACTAAGGCTAGAGAATTGTGTAAGCCCAAGAGTTTGAGGTTGGGCGGCACCCATAGCTCAGTGGGTAGGGTACTGGCCACGTACACCAAGGCTGGCGGATTTGAACCCAGCCTGGGCCATTTAAAACAATAATGATGACAACTGCAACAAAAAAATAAATGAAAAAAGAGGCTTGGTGCCTGTGGCTCAAGCGGTTAAGGCGCCAGCCACATACACCTGAGGTGGCAAGTTCGAATCCAGCCCAGGCCCACCAAACAACAATGATGGCTGCAAGCAAAAAATAGCCAGGCATTGTGGTGGGCACCTGTGGTCCCAGCTACTTGGGAGGCTAAGGCAGGAAACTCGCTTGAGCCAAGAAGTTGGAGGTTGCTGTGAGCTATGATGCCACAGCACTCTACCCAGGGGGACAGCTTGAGGCTCTGTCTCAAAAGAAATAAATAAACAAAATAAAATAAATAACTATATCTACAAACATGTATATGAGTGACTATGTTTGTGTAAGAAAGTACATCACAATATTAGCGGTAGATACCACTAATTAGTGGTATTATAGGAAACTAATTTTATAGTTTGTTCCTTTCTGTAATTTCCCAATTTCCTATAATGAATACATAAAGCCAAAGGAGAAAAGAAACTTAAATGCACATATAAGTGTCTGCATATATATATTTATTTATGCATAGCACCTATCTACTGCTCTAGATCCTGTCCCTGCCTCGGCCTCTTAGCCTTCCTTGTCTACATCCCAACCTTTGGGATGGAAAGGGCAGGGCAAGAACTGGGATGATGACAGAGCCAAGAAGCTGGGTATGGTGGTGCAGGCCTGTAATCTCAGCTGTTTAGGAGGCTGAGACAGGAGGATCACTTGAGCCCAGAAGTTTAAGACCAGACTGGGCAACACAGTAAGATCTCATCTTTTAAAAAAAAGATGGTGCCACGACTTATGGGGAAGAGGAGACAAAGGAAGCGTGCTGCTGCATTCAGAAATGACCAAAGAAATAGAACTGAAAAAAGAGCAGTAAAGTGGGGGATAAGTGGTAGCTACCTGAATCCTGAGGGGTCTAGGAACATGTCATGCTCAAAGGTTGTGGGGCCCAATATTTGGGGTCAGAGGGCTAGGTACTCACCGTCCAGTGACAACCAGTCAAGCTGAGTACTAGGCAGAGACAGGAATCGGCGGGCTCGATACTCAAAGAGCACAGAAGCAGAAAGGGGCCCCTCCCGCCCTGCCACCTGCAAAGACACCAGCCCTACCTCATGGGCTGGGGAGGGCAAGATCAGTGAGAAAGGCTTTCTTTCCCTGGCTCCTTCTCTGGCCACCTGTGTCAGAGCCATGGAAGATAATGCCATTTCTATCTCCCTCACTTCTTTGCTGCAGGCCAAGAGGTGCTTGCTTCAGTGGCCTTGGAACTAACTGGAAAGGGAGTCTCTTCATTCAAGAACTGAATATCTACTATAGGTCAGAGACCTCTTGGATTCTAGGCTTCATAGTTAAGGATGTTTGTTATTCAGCAACAAAGTTTGGAAGCTGAGGGTTAAGAGACACTTGTATTTATGAACAATTTGATGATAGATAACCCCCTTAATCTCCAGGTCACAGTCCAGAGTCATGACCCTATTACTAAGTAGGGGAAAGGGGAGTTAGGTGTTCATGAACAGTGTCCAGTGAGAGCTCTATCCCAGAGTCTCAATGTCCGAGGCCTGAGGGCTCTGGATGAGACCATCAGGGCCCAATCTCAGATCATGGACTGCAACTTTTTCTCCCAGTTCCCAGCTTCTCTGGTCTTATCCCCTTTCCTCCTGTATGTAGCTGAATGGGGCTATTAAGACTAAGGGAGAACACTCTCATAGATACCAAAGTTATCAACCTGCCACCCCAGGGATGCTTGGGGTCCCCTAGTAAGGCTGACTGTGGAGTGCAGGGTCAGGGCAGGATTGGTGGCAAAATGGCAGAAATGAGCCTTGGCAATGAAGTCTAGACCAGTGTTGTCCAATAGAACTTTCTGCAGTGACAGAAATGTTCTACATCTGCACATGTGGCTACTGAGCACTTGCAATATTGTCAGTGTGACTGGGAAACTGAATCTTTAGTATTAATTTTAATTAAATAGGCACACAGGGCTAATGGCTACGCACACTGGATAGCACAGGTATAAAAGCTCAATCTCTTTCTCATTTTGCTGGATTGGAGTTGAAGTCTCTGATTCTAACTAAGCCAGAGAGCCTAGAGGGACATTAGCTATCCTTTAGTCAATGCCTGACCTTACAGGAGGGGAAGCTAAAGACCCTGGAAAGGATAGGACTTATCTCAGATCATTGGTTAGCTAGTGAGATTTCTTGGACCAGAACTTAGATTTTTCTAACACCTACACACAGGCTCTTCTGCCTGCTGGGAAGCTTGGCACTCAACCTCAGGACTGAATGAGGTCCTTATGCTCTCAGAATAACCCATTTGCTCCCAGTGCTTCCTGGAAGCCTGGAGATCCTGATCTGTCCTAACACTACATTTGTCAGTCCCTTCCCCTACCATTCCCATTCCCCATACCAGGACAGTAGCAGCGTAAGACACCAGGCTGGACAAGTGAGGCTGGTACTGCGATGTGATCAAAGACACAGGAGTAATGCTCAGCGGCCTCTGTCCAAGGACCTGTGATGAGCACCTTGACCCCACCCTGCAGAGAGAAGTCAGAGAGGATGTGATTAGAAAGGTGTTCATTTGTGTACTCATTCATTTATTTATTCAGATCCTTAAAGAGTATTTATTATCTGGCAGGCATGCTAGAGTCTGGGGTACAGGAACTGACATGACCAGTGGGGTAAAGACAGCTAGTCTATCCCTCCACCTCAACATTCCTGCCAAAAGGTTACTTCATCTCTTTGTGAATCTACCAGAAATAGGTAATTCAGAGCCTCCCCAGAGGCTACCACATAGCTGTCATCAGGGGGAAGTTCTGTTCTGATGCTAATTCACCCCCATTGTAGTTCCTCCTTTCCCTTTCTGGGGCAGAACTTCTCTACTGCTAAGACAGTCTTTTAGCTACTCAAAGTGTGCAATTGCATGCCCACTGTATTTTTTTCTTTTCCAGGTTAAAAATTCCCAGTTTCCTCCCCCTGAAAAGTCATGAAGGGAATGAGGTCCCCAGAAGACTCCAGTTAACCCTGTTAACACAATGAAGGAAAATAAAGAGAGGGTTAAGTCAGTGAGAACTATGGAAACAGGAAAGAAGCTGTACTCTACATTAAAGTAGAGATCTAAGAAGCCATGAAAATTGAGGGAAATGGGTAAGAGTTAATACAAGTCTTTTAGGGAATCAGAAAACAAATGGGAGGGAAAAGGGAGCAGGTAAGCCTGAGACTCACCTCTGGGTAGGACCACTCTGGGGAGAAATCTGTGATGGTGCTAAGAGCAGGTGAGAGCTGGGGGGTTGGGGCCGGGATGCTTGGAGCTTCATCACTGATGAGTTCTCCCATAAGGTCTGGGAATGATGAAAGACTGAAGGGCTCCAGTTCGCTGGCCCCACCAGGTCCTCCAAACAAGGCCTCCCCTCTTCCTACCCTGCCTGATGGCTCCAAAGGGGCAGGTGAGTGTGAGGGTGAGGGAGGGGGTGAAGGTATGGGTGGGGCAGTTCCCTGGCCCTTGAGTTCCTCCCCACTGTCATCATCTTGGATGAAAAAGCAGTTTCCTCTTCTCCCACCTGCTCCTGATTGTGAAGGGGGACCCCGAGCAGCTGCCTGGGGCTCTAGGGCAGCAGCAGGCTCTAGGGCAGGACAGGGGGTATGGGCAGCCTCTGCCTCAGGGAAGTCTGGGCTTACTCCCTGCCCTCCTCCATAGGTCTGGCCCCTCTGGGGGCTGTTGAGAAAACGATCAGGGTCAAAGGCAGGACTAGGAGGAGCAGGTGGGGCAGAGGGCTCAGAGCCTACAACTACAGCCAAGCTCATGTTAGGTCTAGGATCAGCCTGAGGAGCCAACTGTCTGGTGGGTGTCAATCCTCCAGCACGCTGCTCCAGTCCCGTGAGGAGGAGGATAGCAGTGCCTCCTCTCGACGAACCCCCTCGAGAGGTAGGAGGGCTAGGTCTGATTTCTAGGGGTTCTGCAAAACCTGATGAGGAGGAGGAAGAGGAAGAAGAGGATGGAGAGGTATGTGCCTTGGGGAGCTCTGGAGGAAGTGGAGCTATAAGTGGAGGAGGCTCAGGGGGATGAGTGTGGGGGACAGAGGTCAGGGTTAAAGCTCGGGGCTCCACTTTGGGAGAGATGATGCGGTGTTTCGTGCTGCTGCATTTGTGTGTAAGGCTCCCAGAACCTGGAGTAGGGAGGGGTGGGGAGGAGAGAAGGCATAAGACACATCCTTTTCCAGCCTTGCATTCCAGAAAGCCACAATAAAGTTATTTCCTGGGACTTCCCTATAGATCAAAGGTGTAATACTGATTATGGCCACTGGGAGGCCTCCGAAACATCCATTCTCTCTTTCCCACTGCCCCTCTCCAGCACCTTTCCCCTCAAAAAGACTATGACTAGAGAAACAACATAAGGGAAAACGGAGGCTTGGGGGGAGCAGCTGAATCAAAAGGTAAAGGCATAAAAAAAGAACAAAATAACAGAACCTTGGGAGTTGTGAACAAGGAATAAAGCTAAGGCTGGGTGTATCTGGTGGTGCTGGGGGAATGGAAATTACTAAAGGTAGAAGGCAGAAAAGGACACAGGCTGCCAGGACCACTAAATAAAAAGATATCCAGATGAGAAGGCCTCTATTCATCTGGCCCATCTTTCTGGGGACATGCAAAAGATTTACAAATCAGCATGCAAATCCCATCAAGACAGCTATCCCCCTGGCTTGAGTAAGAGCAGTATTAGTTGGGTAGAGCACCTTAGGATCAGGTGGTACTCACCAAGACCCCCACTGCAGAGACAGGCATGGGTTCGAGGTGCAGGGGTGGTACTCACCAAGACCCCCACTGCAGAGACAGGCATGGGTTCGAGGTGCAGGTTTGGTTGGGTGAGTGTCCAAGATCTGCTGCACCAGCTGTTCTACAGAGAATTCCTCTGTCCCATTCCCACAGCTCCACTTGATGCCATGAACTAGAGGAGATTGGGGGGGAAGTGCTGTTGGACCCCCCTCAAAACAGGCCCCAAAGTACCTTGATGGTTCTTCCAAGCACCTGAAATGCTTCAGGAGTTCTGGCCAGGTGAACAGAGGCCACCAGCCTCAAGAACACTTGGACATGTAGCTTTTAGTGTCTTCTCTGTATTCTAACACCTAAGAACGCACCAGGAATCCTAGTACCCTCCCAGCTTGGAGGAAAATGGTCACCACACAGGTTTTGGGTACAGAACCCCAGTCCCTTTGGGAGGCCCCTGTTTTCACTCTATCCTTGAAGGTCTATCTGTCCTGCTCCCTTACACATGGGCTTCAGCTGTCCCAATAGCTCATCCCGGGACCACTTCAGCCATTCTCGACGGTCGCTGCTGATGGAACAAAAGATGGGGCTGCAACCCTTTCCACAATCCTCCAGGGCTGGGACGTTCAGGTAGTGCACAAGGACGATGTCAGGGTTCTGTGAGCACAAGGGTATACACGGAGAGCCATGGGATCCTGAGTCCAGGGGCTCAGCTTCCTAGTCTTCACTTCCTTGCTGGGTACTCTCCCAAACTCATCCCCAATTTTTGGCTCTTTCCATCCCCTGCCCCTTTCTCTTCTTCCCAGGCTCCTTTCCCCACAGACCTAGTCATTCTTTCAGATCCATGTCCCTCAAAGAACCAGGAAGAGTCTGGCTCCCTGAGCTCTAGTGTTCTTACCTGGAGCAGCCAGTAGCAGCGCCGATGGAATGTGGGGACGATGGAAGAGTGAACGTAGCAGCCATAGAGACACTGCCAGGAGACAGGCTGGGGTGGGGGGAGGGCTAGTCTGCTCCCCAACTCTTCCTCTGTTCAGTCCCTTTGCAGGAATCCCAATCTTTCCACCAGTTCTTCTTCAACCCTTCACCCATTCCCATCTACTCCCATCCCCTTCAAATCCCAGCAGCCCTAAGTCAGAGATGAGGGACGAGAAAAGGGAACAGTGGGGCTGGAGCCTTAAAATAAGGACCAGATTTGAGACACGTGACTATCTAGAAATCAGAGGGCAGAGCAAATATATATCTGAGATGAGGAATAATGATTTGGGAAAAGAAACTTGTACTTAGAGTATAAGAAATGCAAGAGTGGTGAGGGGACTGGGCATCGGTTTCCTGAAGGGCAGGCAGGGCCTCAAGCCTGGAGTGTTGGGTCATGGAGGGAAACGGGAAGCAGAGAGTGGCCTAACCAATCAGTTAGGTGATCCACGATGAATGAGAAGGGAAGAGTGACTGGGAGGGGGCTGAGGTAGACAATGTCACCAAGCCCTGGCAGGGCTGGATTCCAAGGTGGAGGAGGGCAGGTTAGGGCAGATGAGCTGAATGTCTGTCTTACCTCCATGCCCTGGACCTTCAGCTTCATGTGGTCCTCTCGGGTAGTCTTCCCATCCTTCCGCTTCTTCCAGAGGTAACCATCCTTTCGGTATTTCACTTTCTTGCGGTTATAGAGAATGATGGAACCATTCTGAGGCCTGTAAAGGGAAGGGCTGGCCTCAAGTTCTGTAACCAGAACCTGGGACCCCTGCCACTCCCCACCTTCTTGAGCTTTCTTACCTTGTCTTTGGGGCACAGGATAGCCACTCATCATGCTTCTCAAAGGTGATCAAGTAGGATGCAATCTCCTATAGGAGAGGAGGCACTCAGGTAGGTGTCTTCTTCATAGAGTCTTAGCCTATCCTCTTGGTCATCCCCTTGGTTTCTTGCTCTCCACTGAGCTATGACAGCTAGTGGAGGACACTTCTAGGTGTTGGGACCCAGCAAGGCCCACTATCCCCTTAAGAACCCCAGAATGGGCTCAGCGCCTGTGGCTCAGTGAGTAGGGCACCCGCCACATACACGAAAGCTGGTGGGTTCAAGCCCAGCCCAGGTCTGCTAAACAACAATGACAACTACAACCAAAAAAATAGCCAGGTGTTGTGGCAGGCGCCTGTAGTCCCAGTTACTCAGGAGGTTGAAGCAAGAGATCATTTAAGCCCAAGAGTTGGAGGTTGCTATGAGGTGTGATGCCATGGCACTCTACCAAGTGCGACAGTGAGACTCTGTCTCCAAAAAAAAAAAAAAAAAAAGAACCTCAGAATGCATCTCAAAGTCTGACCATCTCTTCTTGCTCTCCCAACTGGGACTTTATCTTGGGGCCAGGTCCATGTTCTTCATCACTCATTCTTCATACTGAGCATTATTTTACTCTTTCCAAATCCCTTTTTGTGTCCCTTCCTGACTCAAATAAACTTCAATGGTTTGACACTGCCAGGAATTTCAGATTTTTTTTTTTCTTTTTTGAGACAGAGTCTCAAGCTGTTGCCCTGGGTAGAGTGCTGTGGCATCATAGCTCACAGCAACCTCCAACTCTTGGGCTCAAGCGATCCTCTTGCCCCAATTTTTCTATTTTCAGTACAGAAGGGGTCTTGCTTTTGCTCACACTGGTCTCGAACCTGTGAGCTCAAGCAATCCACCCTCCTTGGCCTTCCAGAGTGCTAGGATTACAGGCGTGAGCCACTGCACCCAGTGGAATTTCATATTCTTTAGCCTGACTCCAAGGTTTTCCCCAACAAGGGATCAAACCATTGTTCTCACTGCTTACCCATATTGTACCTACCATTATTGTCAGATAGGCCACTGATTCCTCCCCAAACATGCCCTGAGCAGTCAGCTCCTGCATATTAATGACTCACAAGCCTGAAGTGCTATGTGTCCTCTCCATGTCTAGAAATCCTTGCTATCCTATACACTGACTCCCTTTCCAGATGCTCCATGAAATTCTGTTGGCCACCCTAGTCCTTTCTAAAGGCTCTAAAGCACTTACAATGACATATACAAATACCCTTTAGTGACAGTTCTCTTCTAACATCAAACAGTAATTACCGACCACCAACTACATATAAGGCACTAACTGTGCAGAATACAGAAGATGAGTAACACAAGGACTGTGTCCTGGGCCGGGCGCTATGGCGCACACATGTAATCCCAGAACTCTGGAAGGCTGAGGCAGGTAGATTGCCTAAGCTCACAGGTTCAGACCAGCCTGAGCAAGAGTGAGACCCTGTCTCTAAAAACAGCTGGCACTGTGGCAGGCACCTATAGTCCCAGCTACTGAGGAGGCTGAGACAAGAGGATTGCTTGAGCCCTAGAGTTTGAGGTTCCTGTGAGGTATGACTCATGGTACTCTACCGAGGACAACAAAATAAGACTCTGTCTCAAAAACAAAACAAAAAACAAAACCTAAAAACACCCAGGACTATGCCCTCTAGAAGAAGCCAATATCAGTGGTGGTTGAAAGCAGGGACTCTGGAGTGAAGTAGGTAATAGTCTGCATGAGGTAAACTTGGTTTCATCAATAACATGGGGGCAATAACAGGGCCTGTTTTATAGTGTCCTTAGAGGATTAAATAAGATATGGCAGAGCAAGTGCTTAGCATAGTGCCTAGTATATGAGATATTCTTTATAGGTAGTAGCCATTGTTTTTACCCAGGAGGATATGCTAAAGAGAAGCAGGCTCCTGCAGCATCTATGATTTTGTACCTCATCTGTCATCTCCAAAGAGCCTAGAATAGTGCTCTGTGCTTAAGAGGTTTAAGAGACACAGAAAGACCCCCACCCAACCACCTCCAACCCATGAGGCCTTGCTGGGCCCTAATCCCCCAGATCCCTAGAAAACCTCATTTGTATTCCACCGTAGCCGCTCTGGAGGCAACAGTGGGCAGCGAGGAAGACACTCCAGCAGCTTCTTGGGGAGAAAGATCTTCAGGTGGTGGTTGTTCTCTAGAGGGAATTAGAAGAGAGAGCTTAATCTGTTACCTACCCTACTCCTGGCATCCAAGTGATAGACAGCCTAGGGGGGAAGGGCTGAAGAGAATCCAGAGCACTGGGGAAAACCGATGCCATGACAAGGAGGGCAGGCAATCCAAAATTTAGAGGGCCACCACAGCATGTCAGAACAAAAGGCCATGCCCAAATTGGGAACCTGGTTTGTGAACTCACCAGCAACCTCGGTGGTATCCTTGCTATTCATGGTGAGGGATCCAGGGGGCAAGGTCACCCCCGGCCTGAGGGGCCGGGGGGAGGGGGAGTCTGTGCTGGGAAGGGAGAGAACAAGGTTATGGCAGAAGCTCCCACATTAATTCAGGACTAGGGATGAGGCAAGGGAGGGGTAAAAAACTGGGTTGTGATAACTGGAAAAGATGAGGAAATAGAGGAAGGGGCTTGACTATGACATGACAGTAGAACCAGGGAATAGAAGTGAAGGAGAACCCAGACACAGTGGCAGGAGCCAAGAGGAGTGGAGGAGACAGAACATAGTGAGCAGGAAGAAACAGGCTGGAGTGGGGGAGGGGAAAAGGCTACGGGGCTGGGGCCTCAGAGGCCCTAAAGCTTGGGCTCTTGCTGTGGCTGAGGCTATGGTTGGGTCAGGTTCTGGGGGCTGGGACTCAGAGCATCCTGTCCCTGGAGGATTGTCTGGCAAGACAGCCTGGATGCCGGGGGAGGGCAGGAGATTCTAAGACCGGGTGGAAAGCTAGGCCTTAGAAGACACACCCTGAGTTTCTTCTCTATTTGATTTTTCCAAGGGGAAGGACATATCTGATGGCTGATCCTAACCTACTCCCTCTCTTCCAGTTTAGATAGGGCCTGGTAGAATCTGGGCTAGACACCCAGGATCTAGGTTCACACCCTCAGGACAAGCCGTCCTCCACCCTGAGGCTGACAGCCCTCTATCCCCAGTCGCCTCTGCCTCCCCTGGCCTCCAGGCCTACCCTACCCCATCTACCGCTCTGGCTCCAGCTTGAGCCCCGGCCCTCCTGTGGGGAACAGATGGGAGCTGGAGAAGGCTCTCAGCCCAGGCTCCACCAGGTGTCCGAGATGGAGAGGGGGAGGAGGCCCGTCTGGGCTCGGTTGTGTGCAGTGAAGCTGGGGTTGGGGTAAGGACTCCGCCCTAGGGCGCAGGTGCGCAGTCCCGCCTAGGCAACCAGCCAGGGTGCGGAGCAGGAGTGGGTCCTGAGCTGCAGGCCCCGGGGCGGCGCAGGACTCGGACGCCTGGAGCTGGGGGTGCCCCCTCATGGAGGGGTGGTGGTCCCTGGAGAACCTCAGAGGTGAGAAGATCCCGTCCACACAGAGGGATGTTCTGGAGAAGCCGCGGAGCAAAGTCCGCGGGCGCGGAACAGTGCGGGTGCGGGGTGTGGGGGTCCCTGTGCGGAGCGGCGCCCCCTGGCGCGGGGGAGGAGGACCGAAGCGGGCGCTAGGGGAGAACAGGGAGGAGGGACGGGGGTCGGCGGCGCAGCGCTCCACCTCCGGACTTGGTGGAGCTGCGCCCCCTGGCGCGGGGGCGGAGAGGCGGGCGTAAGGCCCTGGCTCTTACCTCCCGGGGTCCCGCGGGTGACGGCGGCAGCGGCCATTCTACCCCACACCGACCCCCCCCACCGCCGGCTGACAGCAGCGTCCGACGTCACTGCGCACGGGGCGGAGCCTCCCAATTAAGGGTATGGTGGTCGCGACGCGAACCTGGGGACAGCACACGTGGGGTTCTGGGTGGGGCGTGGGCGGAGGGACTCGGCTTCCAGGCCCCCGAACCAGAATCAGGAACAGACTTCTAGGAAGTCCCCAAGGGGCAACTGCGCTGAGGGGCAGGATTCCGAGTCTCGGAGGCGGAAGATTTGGCGGATTAACATGACTCCTGGTCTGGGAGAATGGGGCGGGAGTGGTGGTCCCGTGCTAGAACCTGGGGGACTGGGCCGGGGAATCTGGACTGGGAGGGTGTGAGGGCCGGAGACGAGATCCCCTCGTCTCGGACAAGCCTCCTTGAATTTGCGGGGCCCAGCCCGGCATCATAGTAGCTGGATCCTCCAGCAGGTGAAAAGAGCCCTCCTTCCCCCATTAGCCTCTGTGCCCCTGCTTCACAGTGAGAAAGACGACTCCGGATTCCACTTGCTCGCTTTTTAATTACACAACATAGAGAAAAAACACAAGGCCATCATCGAGCCTAGAGGAAAACAGAACTTGGCGAGCTCCTGTGAAAGGGGTGGTTGAGATGGGGGCTCAGGGAGGGGCTGTTAGTGCCTAGTTTGGAGGATGGGAAAGGCAGTTGCAGGAGCTGAGGAGGGGAAAGTGCCTTCATGTCAGCAATGGGGGCTATTCCAATGATGGGACTAGTTTTTGGTCCCTAAGGGACCACCAGCATCTGGGCACACTTGGTCTCTCCTTACTCCTCAGACGCCAGCTCTGTCCCCCAGGGATTGTAAAGGGGGTTCCTACTGGCTGTGACAGTGCTGAAGGAGGCCAGGGAGTACAGCCCTCTGGAGGGGCATGCCTCCTTCTGGCCCAGGGGACTCCAGGGAGACCAAAGCAGCTGGAAAGATAAAAAAAAAGGAAAGAAGAATGCAAAAGTAGGTCTTTCTCCAGATTTCCTAGTTCCAAAGCCCTAGTCTTTGGCTCTCGCCTACTTTATCTATTTAGTTAGTTAGTTATTGAGACAGTCTTACTATATCGCTTTAGGTAAAGTGCATCATAGCTCACAGCAACCTCAAACTTGGGCTTAAGCAATTCTCTTGCTTCAGCCTCCCAAGTAGCTGGGACTACAGGCACTTGCCACAACGCCTGGCATTTTTTTTTTTTATTGTAGTTATCATTGTTTAGCAGACCAGGGCCAGGGTCAAACCCACCAGCCCCAGCATAAACACTGAGCTAAAGTGCCAAGCCATCATCTACTTTATTTTTGCTCCTCCCAAATCCAGCTATCCAACCTGGCTCTCAGCTACCACTGTCTCCATGCAAGACCAGGGATCCAGATCACCCTCCACTGTTCCACTACGTTCCTCTCCAGTCATACCTGGGCCCTCCCAGGAGTGAGCAAATGGCCCTCTTCCTGTGGATGGGTTGCCCTCTCTCCTTCCAGATCAGGGTATTCAGTGGTGCTGGAGAATCCACAGCCCTCTTCAGCAAGCATCAGAGGCTCAAATGCAGCCCCAGAGCCGCCCCATTGGGCCTTCTTCAGTCTGTGGAGGGAGATAGGCTTGGGTGAGAGAGGCATCTGAAGTCCAGGCTTCCTGTCTCTCCATTCTTTGGTTTTGAAATACTTCCTGCTAAGAACCAAGAATGTTGTCATTTGACCTCCAACTCTCCATTCCCATTTTCTGCTCTTCTCAGATTGAAGTATTTTCATTCCAGGGACTCAGAGATGATCCCTAGCTCCCTAGTGTCCTCCAGTTCTATGGTGTGCTTTCCTGTCTTCAGTGACTCACTTTCCATTCCTTCCAGCTCATGTGGCTCACCCTCTATCCCTTATTTCTTTCCTCCTTTCCACATTATAGAAATTCTTTTTCAATCACACCCTGCCCACACTCCTTCCCAAACAACCTCTAATTCCCTCAAAGCTCTCAGCCCCTTCCTTAGCTCAAACCATCTTGCCCTCAAACCCTCCTTGGCTTCCAGAACCCAGATGTGGCCCCTGCTTACTCATCGATGGTTCTCTGGCGCCTCCTTAAGTCTTCTAGGTGATAAGTGACAGCCCTCACCCGGGCAGGGATGCTCCCAGGTCCCTGCTGCATTCCCTCTGAATGTGGCCTCTTTTTCTTTCTTCTGCAAAGCATCTCAGGTGGTGGCAGCCCCTTAGGATAGTGTAGGCCAGGCAGGGAGAAACCAGTGGCTCTCTGTGCCAGAGAATGGGGGAAAGGAGCTAGAGGGAAGAA